CCCCCGCCACCGGACCCAGGCGCCTCCAGCCGCAGACGCCGTGCCGGCAGCCCCTCTCCCGTCAGCTCCAAGGCCGGGTCGCTGCTGGCCACGGGCTGGTGGCTGACACCTGTCACGCCAGCCACTCAGGAGGCTGAGATCTGAGGACCCCGGTTCAAAGCCAGCCCGGGCAGGAAAGTCCATAAGGCTCTATGTCCAGAAACGCTGGAAGGGGAAGGGTGTAGCTCAAGAGGTAGGGCGTCAATCTTGAGAAAAACCAAAAAGGCAAGCGCGGTGCAAGGCCCTGAGTTCAAGTCCCAGTACTGCCACAAAACAAAGAACAAAAAGCACAGGACAGGGCTCACTGGCCATGTCTCCAGATAAAATGGCCCCAGAGGTAGAGGACCAACTTGCTCCACGTCGTACTCAGATACCGAGAAGAGATGCTGTTACACCACGTGGGGTGTGAAGAGGAAAGAGCCTCCTCCCACAAAACACACGAGCAAACACCACGCCAAGGCCGCACAGACACAGCACCAGCAACGCCGTGAGGGCAGGGCGGGGGGCGACCAACCCGTAGAAAGTTCCAGTTACGTACAAAGAGTAAGTCCTCCCCAGACACTAAAGAGACTTCCTCCAACGTCCAACTGCACTACACAGAATAGGAGTGATAGAAAGTTCTGGAGTGTGGATGTGTGGGTCTTGAACTCAGAGCCGTAGGCTCTTCTTAGCGTGTTCACTCAATCACGGAAGCCACACCACTGGGTTACCTGGAGAAAAGGGTCTCAGGGTTTGTCTGCCCGGGCTGGCTTTGAACCGTGATCCTCAGATCTCAGCCTCCCGGGTCGCTGGGGTTCCAGGCGTGAGCCACCAGCACCAGCTACAGCAATGCTACAAGACATTCTAACGCCACACGACGTTCTAAACGCTCCTGGTTCACAGGGGACACTGAAAAAGATCCAGCCTGTCAAGAAGGACTACTAATGGCGAGGCTGCCAGCCGGACAGCGGACGCCACGTGTCTGCAAGACTGGAAATAGCAGACGCCTTTCAAACACTGAATGAATACGGCAGTTTGGCTCTTAATGGCCGCTCTGGACACGTCCGTGCACCCTGCATTAACCTCTAGAGCATCAGCAATGGAAGGCGGTGTTTGCGAAAGGGTTCTAAATTACAGGGGGGAAATTCACGGTAATAATACGACAGGATAGGGGAAAACAAGAGAGGAGGAATTAGTGTGAGCATGGCGGCCGCCGGGCTCCGGGGACCGGGCTGTGGGAAACGGAGGGCTCACTGTCACAGGCCGGAGGTGAACCGCAATGGCTCCCCGGAGTCTCCTCCAGACAAAGCATGATTCCTGCGGGGCGGCAAAGGGGCTTTAACGCAAGGAGAAAGCCAGGCTCCGTGGCTCACGCCTGTCATCCCAGCTGCTCAGGAGGCTGAGATCGGAGGAGGGAGGTTCGAAGCCAGCCCGGGCAGGAAAGTCCATGAGACTCTCATCTCCAACTAAGCAGCAAAAAGCCGGAAGTGGGAATGTGGCTCAAGTGGTAGAGCACCGACTTTGAGTGGGGAAAAAAAAAGCAAGAGCTCAAGGCACTGAGTTCAAGTCTTACTACACACACACACACACACACACACACACACACGCACACACACACGCACACGCACACACGCACAGGTAAGCTAAGAAGCCCGTGAAAACTGCCTTCCAGATCAGATGGTGACTCCTCTCCAGCATGCCTGCACGTTCAGTCATCCAGGTGTCCCAAGTTCTGGGTTCTCTCTCCCTCCTGGAAACGCCACCTGCACCTGCCATTTCTCTCCCTCTCTAATGTTACCTTGCTGCAACCCTCAGCCAAAAAGCTCCGTCCAGATTCTAGTCATCGCCCTAAGCCCGACGTGGATCAGCTCGGCTCCTTCGTCTTCTGATTTATCTTTTCTTTCTTCCACCAGCGAAGGCACTGACCCAGTAACTCGCAGCCTTCACACCTGCTACGGATTTTCCCATTCCTTCGTATAGAATCTGATGAGCAATAGTGGAGAGTTGGGGCAAGAAATCCACTCACCACATTTTTTCCTTCGTTCTGGGCATCTTGATAATCAGGATTCAGCTGGGGGGGAAAACAGGAAGATTAGTTATGAGTTACTATTAAAAACATGAATGATCCTTAATTCAGTTTAATCGTTCTTGACTAAGTTTAATGGCTAATAAGCTAACGAATGCATTGGTAAATGTTAAAAATCTGAACTCACACCTGGTTGTATGAGGACTCAGGATACCTTTGAATCCTCGAGGGGAGGTGATGATCCCAACCTCTCTAGGAAGAGGCTGAAACTTGCTACAAAACCCACCATTAACCAATAACCTCAAAGCAGATTCAAAGAAGAGAAGACTGCATGCAGCACTGGTGGCTCATGCCTGTCATCCGAGCTAGTTAGGAGGCTGAGATCTGAGAATCATGGTTCAAAGCCAGCCTGGGTAAGATCGAGCCTGAGATTAGTATATCTAATTAGTCACCGAAATCCCGAAGTGGAGCTGTGGCTCAAGGGGTACAGCACCAGCCTTGAACAAAGAGGCTAAGAAAGAGTTCAATCCCTGAGTTCAATTTCCAGTACTGGCGCGGCACACACACACACACACACACACGCACACGCGCACACACACACACATACACACACACACACACACACACACACACACGCTCACACACACATACAGAGCTTCGAGGTATTTTGCTCTTTTTCCCCCTCTAAAAATGCAGCATTAATTACTGAAATAATTAGGATAAGAATGACTAGAAGAAGGTTTTTAAATAAGGAAGATACGGTGATATGACCGCTCCTGAATCTTTTAGGGCTTTGAAGAAAATGTTTCCTTATGCTAAAATATAAATTATCAATCTGGCCATGGAGAGAGAACAAATATTCTCTTTAATCATTTATTCGATAAATATTAATAGAGCGTGTATAATGGGCAAGACCTTGGCACACGGCATATTAGCCAAGACAGCCTTATCATCCAGGAAGGAAAAATCGGCCTAACCTGAGTCAGCTATAATACAAAGGAGCATGGGACCAGAGATAAGACAAAATTGAATAACTCATAAATAATACGGGTGAGATGGAAGAGGGATCCGGAATGGGCAACTGACGAAGGAATTATTCGTGGACAGCAAAGCCTGCAGTAAGCCCTGAGAGATGGGTAGAATGTTGAACGGAAAAAGGGATCAGCTCAAATCAATGGGGTCTTTTAACCACAGATACACTGGATAGACACACAGACGGATGGGTGGATAGATGGGATACATATAAATATGTATTCTCATACAGATGGATGGATGGATGGGCAGGTGGATGGGTGGATGGATGGATGGACAGACGGATGATGGGTAGATAGATAAATGGATGGATGGATGGATACATGGACAATGGATGGATGGATAGACAAATGAATGGATGGACAGATGGATGGATAGCAGATGAATGGATGGATGGATACATGAATAATAGGTGGATGGATATATGGACAATGGATGGATGGATAGAGGAATGGACAGATGGATGGATAGACAAATTAATTGATAAACAGCAGATGAATGGATAAATGGAGAGATGAATAAGCAGATGGACAAACAGATGGATGGATGGATGGATGGATGGTTAGATGGATAGATGGATGGACAAATATAATCAATCAGACAGAGGTCTGGGAATTCTTTGCCTCCAATGGTGTAGAACCGTATTCCTTTTTATCTCAGACTTCGCAATAGCTGAGATTAAGACGTGAACCACCAATATACCATATGTATCTCACACAGAATATGTTATGTGCACATTTGTGGCCTGTTACATATTCGTGACTGTAAATCTGCATCTACGCACATGCCGACAAGCCTCGTCGCAGGTATACATCCTGAAGTCTTTTCATGTGCTCAGAGATTCAATAAAGAATCTCAGGATGAGGTGCAGGAAAAAATTTTTTTTTTAAGAATGAATTGCAGGGATTTAAAACTACAGCGTTAGCCGGGCGCCGGCGGCTCCTGCCAGCATCCCAGCCACTCAGGAGGCTGAGATCTGAGGATCACGGTTCAAAGCCATGTTCCCAGACAGGGAAGTCCGTGAGTCTCTTCTCTCCAATGAATGACCAAAAAAAGCCAGAGCTGGAGCAACAGCAGCCTTGAACAAAAAGGCTCAGGGACAGCGTCCATGTCCTATGTTCAAGCCCCAGAACTGGCACAAAGGAAAGGAAAAGAAGCCCTGTGACACAGCATGAACACAGAGACCCACACAAGAAGCCCTGTGACACAGCATGAACACAGAGACCCACACAAGAAGCCCTGTAACACAGCATTAACTCACAGACCCACACAAGAAGCCCTGTGACACAGCATGAACACTGAGACCCACACAAGAAGCCCTGTGACACAGCATGAACACTGAGACCCACACAAGAAGCCCTGTAACACAGCATTAACTCACAGACCCACACAAGAAGCCCTGTGACACAGCATGAACACTGAGACCCACACAAGAAGCCCTGTGACACAGCATGAACACTGAGACCCACACAAGAAGCCCTGTAACACAGCATGAACACTCAGAGACCCACACAAGAAGCCTTGTAACACAGCATCAACACAGAGACCCACACAAGAAGCCTTGTAACACAGCATGAGCACAGAGACCCACACAAGAAGCCCTGTAACACAGCATGAACACAGAGACCCACACAAGAAGCCCTGTGACACAGCATGAACACAGAGACCCACACAAGAAGCCCTGTGACACAGCATGAACACTCAGAGACCCACACAAGAAGCCCTGTGACACAGCATGAACACAGAGACCAACACAAGAAGCCCTGTGACACAGCATGAACACTCAGAGACCCACACTGCTCAGATGCTTCAGTATTCGCGTTTAATAGATGCAATCCAAAGGTTTTTAAACAGTTAGAAAATAAGCTTCTAGCACCATCTGGTGGAGGTTTTGCCTGACTGCAAACAAGCCCGTCCTCTTAAACCAGGGCCCTGCTAAACGTTTGATCAAGTTAGTTTACCATACAGGATCTACCTTGTTTGGGAAAAGATTATCAAAAGTTGTCGCCAGCTTCTAATCTCAGCTGCTCAGGAGGCTGCGGGGACCCGAGGACTCAGGTTCAAAGCCAACCCGGGACACACAAATCTGTAAGACTCGCCTCCAACTAGTGGGCTAAAAAGTTGGATTAAAAGTTTTTGCTCACGTGGTAGAGCACTAGCCTTGAATAAAAAGCTAAGAGACAACACTGAGGCCGTGAGTTCAAACCCCAGTACCAGCATACACACACAAAGGCAATTTAGAAGGTAGCTCACCAGGCAGAGAGAAAGTAAAAAGGAATCATAAAAAGGGTGAATTTGAAAAAATACTTGCTTTTCATAATTCACCAAACTATGCGATTTTTCGTACGTGTTCCAGTCCTAGGGCCGGAACTCAGGGCCTGGGCGCTGCCCTGGAGCTTTGTGCTCAGGGCTAGAGCTCTACCACCTGAGCCACTGCAGGCTTTACCCTGGACTCTTGGAGGAAAGAGTCGCATGGATTTCTTTGCCCCTAAGCTGGCTTCAAACCATGATGCTCAGCTCTCAGCCTCCCAGGTAGCTGGGATGACAGGCGGGAGCCACCAGAGCCCAGGGCTTTTTTTTTTTTTTTTTTGCTACTTAATTGGAAATGAAAGTCTCAAAGATGTCTGTCTGGGCTGGCTTCACACTGGGACCCTTAGATCTCAGCCTCCCGGGTAGCTGGGATGACAGGCGGGAGCTGCCAAAGCTTGGCTCGTTGGCCTTTTATTCTTATTTAAGACAAGATTCTCTGCCCTGATGAGCATTTTCCCATCAACGGTAACTTCTGTGGAAGTGGCGCTGTGGCTCAAATGTTGGAGCGCTGGCCTTGAGCCAAACAGCTCAGGGACAGCGCCCAGGCCCTGAGTTCCAGCCCCGGGACCAGCACGCACACAGAGACACATGCACGGTAACCTCTCCAGGTAGTTTTAAGGCATATGTGGTACGCCCACTGCTCACAAAGCTCTGGCTCATTGGGCTGAGTGGTAAACGATGTCCATGGCTGGGGAAAAACCAGAGCAGTCTCACGCCAGGCGCTGGGGGCTCCTGCCGGCAAGCCCAGCAACTCGGGAGGCTGAGATCTGGGGATCGCAGTTCTAAGCCAGCCCAGGCGGGGGAGTCTATGACACACTTAGCTCCAGTGAACCGCCAGAAAGCCAGAAGTGGAGGCGTGGCTCAGGTGGGAGAGCGCCCGCCTTCACGGGTCTAGGCTCCGTGTTCGAGCCTCGGTATCAGCACAAATGAAACTCACCACAACAAGATTCATCGTGTCAAACAGCAACCCAGAATGGCACTGGCAGCGACTGCGGCCAACGCAGTGTCTTCCAGAGAATTCGATGCTGTGAGGGGTCATCTTACCTCGGCCGCCAGGTAGCTCCCCGTGGCCAGGTGTTTGAATCTGAACAAGCTGTTCCACTGGCCGGCGCCGCCGCGGCACGGGTCATGGTGGACGACCTGCGGGCAGAGAGGGTAGGCCCCGCTCAGCGAGCCCGCGCGGGCGAGGGTCCAGCACCCACACGGCCGCCACACGGACAGACGGCGGCCACTCACACCCCACAGGGCAGCCACACGGATGGACGGAGGGACAGACGGACGGACGGACAGCCACTCACACCCCACGCGGCTGCCACACGGACGGACGGCCGCTCATACCCCACAGGGCCGCCACATGGACGGACAGTCGCTCACACCCCACGCGGCAGCCACACGGACGGATGGCTGCTCACACCCCACAGGGCAGCCACACGGACAGACGGCGGCTCACACCTATCACGGCAGCCACATGGACGGACGGCCACTCACACCCATCACGGCAGCCACACGGGCGGCCGGTGGCTCACACCCGTCACCCCAGCTCCACGGGAGGCTGAGATCTGAGGATGCCACGAAGAAAACCATCTCCAATAAATTATCCCCAAAAGGCAGGAGTGGCGCCGTGGCTCAAGGGGTAGAGCGCCAGCTGTGAGCCAAAGAAGCTCAGGGACAGCACCCAGGCCCTGAGTTCAAGGCCCAGGACTGACCCCAAAATAAAAACTGAAAAGAAATATTAGAAAAGAAAAAGAGAGCCAGGTCTTGCACGTGTGCACACACACACGCACACACACACACGCACACACGCGCACACATGCACACACACGCACTCACACACACACGCACCTGCACTCACACACACACACACGCACCTGCACTCACACACACGCACACACACATGCACTCACACACACACAGCACGCACGTTCGCACACACACACGTACACGCACTCACACACACTCACACATGCACTCACACACACACTCGCACATGCACTCACACACATACGCATGCACGTTCGCACACACACGCACACACACACACACACACACGCACGCACCTCTATTTCCCAGAGAGCTTTCGAGCTGGTGGCGGACGTGGCCGACTGACGCAGCGTGGTCCGGAGGAAAATATGCTGCTTCTTCTTGTACTCGTCGCAAGTGAGGAACTTCTCCTGCTCCGCATGGAACAGTCTGACCACATCGCCCTGGAAGAACAAGTCGAGGACACCCCAGTCCAGCACGGGGCAGGCAGACCGAGGGGCGAAGGCCGGCCCCGGGCTCGGGCCCCGTGAGCTCCCGTGAGCGGCTCTGTGTCCCCAGGCAGAGCAGCTCGGGGAGAAGCCACGGGGGCGTCGAGGGACGGGGTCCCGCCGTCAGCGGCAAACCCCGGGCACACCTGGACTCGGCTTCTAGAACTTTATGAAGACCATCTTCGTCCCTCCCAGAAAAGGTCCAGTGAGGCAGATACTTACTCCTTTCAAGACGTCATCCCGATAGGAGCTAAATTTCATGAACAAGGTGATCTTCCAGCTCGTGTTGCAGTTAACCGCGTTCACCTGGCACAGAACCAGTGGGAAGGTGAGCGGGAACGCTGCGGGGCTGGCGCGTGGCTCAGGGGCGGACGCTGGCCACGCACGCAGAGCCACGTGCACAGAAAAAGCGGCACTGTGGCTCAAAGGGTAGATGCCAGCCTTGAGCAAAAGAAGCTCCAGGACGGGCCCTGAGTTCAAGCCCCAGGACTGGCAAAGAAAAAGAGCATGTTATGAGGGGGGACCCACGGGGGGGAAGCAAAGGAAGGGGTGACACTGTCCGTAAAAGCACTGTCCTCATTACCTGACTTACGCGATGCTGAGCCTCCTACACAGGCTTACGCCGGTCATCCTGGCTACCCAGGAGGCCGAGATCCGAGGACTGTGGACAGGAAAGTCCATGAGACTCTCACCTCCAATGAATCACCAAAAAAAAGCTGGGAGTGGCGCCGTGGCTCACGTGGTATATGCACATATACATAGTACCGCCGAAGGACTACCCACAAACAATTACTAGCCATCGGCACATCCTTTGGATTATTAACTAGCACACTTTGGATCATGGAGCTCACTTCCTTGCAGCCCGGGTTGTCCAGGAGCTGGATGTTGCTGGCATGAAGAGGCTGCCCGGCGTTCACGGGCATCAGGACAACTTTATCCCCGACCACGATCTGCAATCAGAAAGAAATCGCCATCAACACACAGCGCAGCCCGGCCTCTCCGGACGGAGGCTGAGATCGGAGGATCGCAGTACAAAGCCCGCTGAAGCAAGAGAGTCTGTCGGCCGCTTATCTCCAATGTACCAGCAAAAAGCCGGGTGTGCAGATGTGGCTCCGGTGGTGGAGAGCTAGCACTGGGCAAAAAATAAATAAATAAACTCATGGACACGGCCCAAGCCCTGAGTTCGAACCCCAAGAACTGGGGGGAGAAGAGTAGGGAGGAAGGGAAAAGGAGATAGAAAAAAGAGAGAGCAAGACAAGTACTCTTTGCTGCTCTTCGGAGTCAGAAGACAGGTAAGTAACTGGGCACCAGTGGCTCACAGCTATAATCCCAGCCACTCAGGAGGCTGAGATTTGTGATCACAGTTCAAAGCCAGCCCGGGCAAGAAGGTCTATGTGGCTCTTACTTCCAACAAATCATACACCCACCCAAAAAAAAGGAGCTGTGGCTCAAGTGGTAGAGCGCTAGCCTTGAGCAAAAGAGCTCAGGGACAGCACCCAGGCCTTGAGTTCAAGCCCCAGGACCAGCACAAATACATATACATATACATATCTAGATCGATAGATAGATAGATAGATAGATAGATAGATAGATAGATAGATAGATAGATAGATAGATAGATAGATAGATAATATCAGCTCATGGCTTTCTCCAATAATTATTCGCTAACTATTCAGTGGCAAGCAGTGACAGAAAGTCACTGCAACAGAAAGTTGCAGCTCAAGTCTGAGACCCATGAATCCATTACAACTAACTGCTAAATAATGAACGTGTGTGTGTGTGTGTGTGTGTGTGTGTGTGCGTGTGTGTGTGTATGTGAAGTACTGGGGCTGAGCTGGCCGTTGGTGGCTCACACCTGTCATCCCAGCTACTCTGGAGGCTGAGATCTGAGGATCACGATTCAAAGCCAGTCTGGGCAGGAAAGACCCATGAGACTCTGGTCTCCAATGAACTACTCTGAAAACTGGAAGTGGCGCTGTGGCTCAAGTGGTAGAGCGCCATCCTTGGGCTGAGGAGCTGAGGGACAGCGCCCAGGCCCCGAGTTCAAGTCCCACCACCGACCAAACATAAAGGACCAGGGCTGGAACTCAGGGCCTTGCACCCTCTGGTGGCTTCCTTCACCAAGGTTGGCACTCAGCCACTTGCGCCCAGCCTCCACGTCTGGCTTTTTGTTTTTTTGGAGATGAGAGTCTCAAGGCCTTCTCTGCTTGGGGGGCTGGGGTGTGCCCAAAATGGATGGACAGTTTCTGAATGACGGAGGGTTGCCGGCCGTTCATTCCCGTATGCTCGCAGCACATACCCCTTGATGCCAAAAAGGAAAATGCGATCGATAGAAGAAGGGCTTGTTGCTTTTCCTTAAGGAAACCAGCACAAGACTTCACGTGTGGCAAACCCTCGGCTGGCAGGCGCCACGCAGACCTTACCGCGGGAAGAGGTGGCCAGGTCAGCCACCACCCACATTGACTCTGGCGTGTGCGTCCTGTGGGGGTGGACGCATACTTCAGAATTCACTCGGAAAAGCAGCCTTATTGTGAAAGGGAGACATTTCTGTCACACCCACAGCACGTTCACAAAAAGGAAATCCAGCTTAATGGAGAACACTTAGCTGTACTGGGGTTTGGGGTGGTTTTTTTGTTGTTGTTTGGTGCTGGACTGTTTAGGGGTTTGGTTTTGTTGTTGTGTTCTTTTTTTACTGCCAGTCCTGGGACTTGAACTCAGGGCCTCGGCGCTGAGCTCAAAGCCAACACTCTACCATTTGAGCCGCAGTTCCACTTCTGGCTTTTTCTGTGATTAATCGGAGTTAAGAGTCCCAAAGACTTTCCTGCCCAGGCTGGACTCAAACCCGGATCCTCAGGTCTCAGCCTGCTGCGTGGCTGGGAAGTGCCACCTGCCCATCCAACATCGATGGACTCGAAGAGCTGGGGACTGTCAAGCAATTCTTTCATTGTATCATACCCCAGCTCACCTCACACCATTGACTCAAATATACAAAATCGGGCAAAAAAAATCCTTTTTAGAATGACTTCAGTTTACTCTGCGGTCTGTAAGCATCTCGTGATTTCTGTTCCGCATGGCTGCCATCAGTAAGTAGATGGACAGCTGTAATTCCTCGCCCAGGACCTGGTTCCTACAACAGCAGATAAAAGCCAGGACGTGATAACTACTGTGGTTCGGCCCGTGTGCGGAGCTGTGACTCGCTGCTCTGTAAATCCAAAGGCAAGAGCCACTTCCTAACACAGCTCCTCTCCAATCAGGCTCCTTCTTTTTTTTTTTTTGTCGGTCATAGGGCTTGAACTCTGGGCCTGGGCGCTGTCCCTCAGCTCTTCAGCTCAAGGCAAGCGCTCTACCACTCGAGCCACAGCACCACTTCCGGTTTTCTGGTGGTTTATTGGAGATAGGAGTCTCACGGTCTCTCCTGCCCAGGCTGGCTTTGAACCATGATCCTCAGATCTCAGCCTCCTGAGTAGCTAGGATTACAGGCGTGAGCCACCAGCGCCCGGCTCAGGCTCCTTCTTGACTAGACAAAGTCTTAAATTCTGCCTCTCTCTATAAAAACAAAACAACGAATCAAAACCAGGTTGTCAAACACGAAAGCAGCGTCAGGGCTCTGGTGTGGCTAACAATGACTGTCAGTTCATTCCTTTTCTTTGGACTCTTTGTGCCAGTACTGAGACCTGAGCGAAGCATCTCGTGGGCTGATCTGACTCTTTGCTCTCGGTGAGAGTTCTACCACTTGAGCCACAAAGCCACTCGGGTCATTTTTGCTGGTGAACTATACAGAGAGTCTCACAGACTTTCCTGCTGAAGTTGGCTTTGAACTGAGATACTCAGATGTCTCCTGAATAGCTGGGATTATAGACTTGAGCCACTGGAGCCCAGCTCCCCCCCCCCATCCCCGGTCCTGGGACTTGAACTCAGAGCCTGGGTGCTGTGCCTGAGTCTCTCTCTGCATTTATGACTAGGGCCTTACCACCTGAGCCACAGCGCCACTTCCAACTTTTTCTGGTGGTTCATTGGAGACCAGGGTGTCCTGGACTTTCCTGCCCGGGCTGGCTTTGAACCTCGATCCTCAGATCTCAGCTTCCTGTGTCACCGGGATGACAGGCGGGAGCCACTGGTGCCCAACTTTAATCTTAACTGTGTGGGGGTTTTTTTCCTTTTTCTTTTATGATTTCTGGGCCCAATCTGTTCTCCATGAATGAGTGCACTGCGCCCAGTAAAATCCGTTCCCAGAAGGTAAGTCATGGATTGGGAACCGACAGCGTCCCTTTCCTGTGTGGGTGGTTAGGACCCACCCTTGTGGGCCTCGGTTTCCCCTGGGGTGTGCGCACACACGTTGTCCCCCTGGCCCCGCCCCCGTGGGCCTCGGTTTCCCCTGGGGTGTGCACGCACGTTGTCCCCCTCGCTCCGCAGCTTCCAGAAGGGGTGGACGTAGAACCAGGAGCCCTCGTTGCCGGCCGCATCCAGGGACACCCGCATGGCGTTCTTCTCCAGCAGAGCGGGCAGCCGCTTGTTCACCGTCAGGTATTTGTTGCTTTTGATGTGCAGCAGCTGCGGGGAAAACATCGTCACTCAGCTCAGGTCTCCCTCCCCTGGGTGGCTTCACCCGCAAGTTTGTAACAGATCGCACTGGGCGGTGCGGGAGGTCAGATCGCACTGGGCCTTGCGGGAGGTCAGGTCGCACACTGGGTGGTGTGGGAGGTCAGGTCGCACACTGGGCGGTGCAGGAGGTCAGATCGCACCGGCCGTGCAGGATGCGCCCTCGGTAGCTCACAGGCATCCCAGCTGCTGAGACCTGATTAGCGCAGGTAGAAGCCAGCCCGAGACTCTATCTCCAGTGAACTGGCAGAGGCGTGGCCCGAGTGGTAAAGCACCAGCCTTGAGTGAGAAAGCTGAAGGACATTGCCAAGGCCCTGAGTTCAAGCCTCAAGACAGACACAGAAGGAAGGAAGGAAGGAAGGAGGGAGGTAGGGAAGAAGGAAGGAAGGAAGGAAGGAAGGAAGGAAGGAAGGAA